CTTGAGAAGTAATCAACACAACACCGAAAAGATGCTCCTGCTTAATGTTCGTCCAGCCGTCAAATGCAGCAGTTACTCCGATTTTATCAGCATGTGCCGTTGTTGAATTTCCTCACCTAACTTTTCAGAATACCTTGAAAGAATTCTATTGCTCACTGCTCGTCGATTAGATAATTTTAAACTTGGTGCAATAAAATGAAAACCTCTTGTGTTTCATAATTTTTCATGAAAGTAAAAAGAAGACCATTTGATACAATCATACATAATATCAGGTTTTCAAAATGTGGTCTGTCTTTTTCAGATAGTGGATATGAAACATAACTTTGAAAATGTGTTTGTTTTTTTGGTGCACTGGTTTTTGAAACTGGGATAGGAATTTTATCTTCGGATAAAGAATCTAATAATTTATCAAGTAATTAATGTATAGACAGTATAAATCAGTACTAAATATATTATATAATTATAACAGTATAGTTAGTTATCTTTGCGGCTCTCTTTTTTATTATTTTTTTTTTAGTGTCTTCAGGTACTGGCCGAGCAAGGATTTCCAAAACTTCATCTTTCTTATACTCAGCTTTAAAATTATGACAGTCTCTAAGATGGCTTCGGCATAGTTTCGCTTTGTTAGAGACAAAGCAGTCCGGATTTGCAAGAGCAACAGGTAAAGTGTATTTCCGCATGCATAACAAACAGACTGCCTTTTTATTGGCTTTGGGATTATCAGGCATAGCTAAATGAAAAAATTCTCAAAAGTTGTGTTCTTTTCTACCCATCGTTATTGCAAAAAAAAAGAAAAAAAAAGTTTTAGATCAAAGAAAAAAATGTATTATACATATAAGATGTTCAACATGTCTAATTTTCAAATATGCCAAATTAACATACTGATACGATGCATCCTTTAATTTTATACAAAATATCTTCTGGTAGATTCTGCCCATCTCGAGAAGTTACTTTATAATCGTTTAAATATTCACTGTTTACAAAAAAATCTGAAGTCTATTTTATTTATTTATTTATTTATTTTTAATTTTTTTTTTTTTTTATTTCTTTATTTTATTTATTTTTTTTTTTTTATTTTTTTATTTTTTTATTTCTTTATTTTATTTATTTTATTTTTTTTTCTTGATTACTGTTGAAGTAAACCGTCAATTAAGGTAACTTTCTTACGATATAAATTTATTTTACTGCCACTTTTTTCTAATCGCTAATAAAGATACCGCTAATAAAGGTATCACTAATAAAGGTACTACTAATAAAGGTACTGCTAATAAAGGTACTGCTAATAAAGGTACCGCTAATAAAGGTACCGTATATATTTATTTTGGGAATAAAGCTGATTAGACACTAATGCTAGTCACAATTCTCACTTTTATACTATTTTTACAATAGATGACATATTTTTTATGCAATATTAAAAGTCTATTTTTTTTTCAAGTTTTGGCCGGTTAAAACATATGAAAATAAAACCAGTTCTAATTTAATTAAGCTTTGCATGCATAAACTCACCTAATCTAACTGATATGTATAAATACCTAGCTAATTTTGTCATATCACCTGATCGTAATATGCATAATGACTCAATGACCCAAATGACTTAGGTCATTTATAAATGACCCGAGTCATTTGGTCACGAGTCATTTTTAAATGACTTGAAAATTAAATAACTCAAATAACTGGTCATTTTAAGATCATTCTAGGTCATTAGTTATTTGAGCAAATGATCCAGTCATTTACCATCCCTGGCTATAGAGGTCACCTTAACACTGAAAAAAAAAATTAGAATATACCAAAAAGAAAACTATTTAATACAGACACCAATGCATTTAGCTCAAAATAGCATTGTTATACAAAATGGCATAATCAATGATAACAAAATAAGAATAATCAACTATATGGAAAAACCTATACTCATACCAGAAAATTATCATATTGGCAACCTTGAGAAAGTTACCAAAATAATAGAAATTAATGACACTAAGATGTTACCTAAAGAAAAGAATAAGCAATGAGAAATGCAAGTTGAAGAAAAAGAGAAAACTGAAAAAGAATGACTTGAAATATTATTAAAAAATACTACCCCAGAATACAGAAATAAGATATTACTATTATTTAAAGAATATATAAATATATTCAGAAGCAAACATGAAAAAGCAACAACATTTAACGAAGACTTCTTTGAACCGATAATCTTAAAGTTAAAATTTAATGAAAAAGAAATACCTTTCTGAGTTAAAGCAAGAATGCCAAGGCAATATTCTGAAGATAAAATAGACCAAGCTAATAAATTATTCGAAGAACTTAGAAAACAAAAATTTATTAGACTATAAAAAGCAGTATAGATATCACTACTAGTTATTATTCAAAAAAAGACAGATCTTATAGAATCGCAGTAGACTATACAAAACTTAACCAATATTTAGAAAATGATTTATACGAAATACCACATATTAATACTATGCTACAAAAACTAGCAAGATATAAAATATTCTCTACACTAGACTTTATAGCAGCTTATTTTCAATTCAAACTAAGAGAAGTTGACAAACACCTTATCACTGTATTCTCCCCGGAAAGAGCAAATTTGAATGGAATGTCATCCCAATGTTATTAAAAACAACACCTGCATATATGATGAGATAAATGTATTAAATTTTTAAAGATTTACCCTTGGTATATGTATATATGGATGATATGATAATTGGAAGTAATTCATCTGAAGAACACTTTCAACATCTCAAAATAGTATTTGAACATATCAAAAAAGCAGGCATGAGTTTGAAACCCAATAAATGTGAATTTGGGGTATTAAAAACACTTATATTAAATCACTTAGTAGAATACAGAAAGATACACCCTAACTAAGTAAAAATTAAAGAAGTAGAAAAACTTAAAGTACTAACAGATGTACATGGAGTATAATTATTTACAGAATTTATGAATTATTTCAGAAGATATATTCAGAACTTTGCATTAATTGCAGAACCAATTTATAATCTATTAAAGAAAAATGTTAAATTTGAATGGACAAAGGAGTGTCAAAAAGTATTTGATACAATGAAAGAAAAGATTAAAAATACAATAGCATTAACATACCCAAAGAAAGGATACTAATTAATAATAGAAATTGATGCATCTGACAATGGAATGGGCATAGTTTTAAAACAAGTAAATCTTGAATTGGCACATTACAAAACTAAACAAGCTAGAGAAAAAGGTACAGAATATGAACCAACCAAATCGGAAGAAGAAATTATAGAATTTGGATCTAAATCCTTGACTCCAACACAAAGAAAATGGGGTTCTACATTAAAGAAATATATGCAATATATTATTACTTATTAAATTAGAGATCCTATATTGGAAATAAATCAGTAATAGTGTGAACAGATAATACTGGAATATCTGATGCATCTAGAAAAATGGACAGAAATAATACAATGCAAAAATGGCTGATACAGTTACAAGAGTTCAATTGAAAAGTTGAATGGATTAAAGATACAGACAACAAAATTGCAGATTACTTATCATGACATATGGGACTGGATGAAAATAAAGAACAAGTTGTAATATTATGAATAGGAGTACAAGATAAAGAAAATTGATAAAACCTAGAGAATATAACCAAATTTTTACAGATCAACAACTTATGAAATTTTTGAAAATAAATAGTCTAGAAACTTGTGATAAAAGTACCACCTTATAGACAACTTGTACAAAACTTTAACAATGAAGAAAAATGCATAAAGTATTTACAACAGAAATTAATTTTACCAAAAGAAATTAACTGTTTATCATGTAGCCAAGAGATAAAACTAAATGCCAAAATGTTTAAGTGCAACAAACGTGACTGCTAAAAACAGATATCTTTATTTAATAGAACAATATTTATGAATGCTCGATTATCTTGTAATGAGATATTAGAAATTGCCTATTTATGGCTAATTAAAGCAAGGCATAGCACAATACGTGATTTTACTAATTACTCTGAAACAACAATAATGTGATGGATGAAAATATTACGCCAAAGCATGTACCACCAAATAAAGAAAACATATGAAAGAATTGGAGAACTGATATTATTGTAGAAATGATAAGTTATAGTTCTACAAATAAAAGGATTAAACAATAATATCAGTATTCAGAGGAGTAGAGAGTACATCTAACAAAAAGTTATTCACAATAACAGTTAAAGATAGAACACAAGATACATTTATATACTATATCTGGAAATATGTTCACCCACAATCAGTATTCTATTTGGACATGTAGAAAGGCTATCATAATATTTATAAGAAACTTGGAATACATTATCATGCTATCTATCATAGCAAAAGTATAACTAAAACAGACTTTGACTCTATAATAGAACAAATTAAAGTTATGCACACCAATGGCATTGAAGCAACATGGTGTATGTTAAAAGATGCGATACAACCAAGAAGTAAAGATAAAAAAACTTGCAACCACACCTAAATGAGTTTTTTTGAAGATGCCAAAATAAACAAATAAATATTTGGGACGTGTTACTAGAATTTTTATGTGATACCAATTATATAGATAATCTACAATTAATCAGTAATACGAATTACTCAGATAAAGATATGAGCAAGGCCTCACTTTAAAATATATAAAAAAAAAACAAAATACTCAGATGATAAAGATGAGATGACTTCATTGAACCTTTAATGAAGATCCAAGATGAGAAATATCTATAAAAAAAACCTTTAAACTACGAAGAAGATCATCCAAAACATATCAAATAAACCCAACTATACTCTGAAATAAATTCTGAAACAATGTCTCAATATGAATACTTTTACTCTGCAAGTTACAAAAATGGCAACTACTGTGAAAAGTGCCAAGAAAAAGTCAACCCCAAAAAATGAGACGATCACATTGAAGAAAGACACAAGACCCTAGTTCAACAAACAAAAGAAAAAGAAGCTAGAAAAATTGTCAAAATAGTCAAGACAATTGAAGAAGCTGTCAAAGTCACCAACTAAGAATTTAGAAGAATGAATATCATCAACATTACTAAATCAATTATCTTTGAAAAAGAAAAGAATAATTTATTCTACTTTGAAGTAGAAAAAGAACCATGCAACCAATGTGCCTAGTGCAAAAGAATTATTACTGAGAATATCCAAGTTCATGAAGAAGAATGTCTTTTCAAAAGAAAAGAACAAAAGAAGCACTATGATCTTGAAAATACTAAACAAAGATACAAAACTTTACCAAGAAAGTTAACTAGAAAGAAAATATTACTAAAAGATATAATGAATACAGAGCACTAACTAATAGAAATCATAATTGTAAAAACAAATTCTTCATGCAAAAAATTGATTTTACCCAAAAATGATTTGGAAGAGTAGAACCTCTTAAACAATTTATACCAGAAAAACCAGAATTTCGCAAGAATGAGTCTTTAGTAAAATTTATTTGTGGAATCTGTAATAAACCAGGTCACTCAAATAGAAACTGCCCAAAAAATGAATATTAGAAATGTTATAAACAAAGACATCAAGCAAAAGACTGCAAAATGTCTATCTCAATCAATAGAGAAAGAGTTATTTTAGACTCATATGCAGAAAACGATAAAAAACAAGAATCCTCTAAGAATGCTAACCAAAATGAAGAATATTATAATACTCAAGCAAGACGAATCTCAAAACAACTAATTAGAAATAATGAAAACATCAAATATAGATATGATATTAACTTTATTAGAAAACTAGACCAAATATTTATCACTGTTATAATAAAGACTGCTACCAAATCATTACAAAAGATTTATTCTTTTTACCAAAAGGAAACTATGTTAACCTCTACGACTACCAAAATGAATTCCTTCTAGATAAAATAGTTTGTAAATGATATTACCAAGAATATATTGAACATCACCTAATTCTAGATCAAAGATCAAGAAACAGAACTAAGACAAGGAAATAAAAGAAAATGTATAATATGCTGTAAAGAAAACTGGAAAAGGTATATGATATACAATTATGAATATAATTTTTTTTGTGACAAAGAGAAAAAAGTAACATATGAACTTTACTATAGCTACAGACACTGTGATATAACAAGAGTTCAAAGAGAACTAGAAAATATGACTAGAGAAATTTATAGAAATCAGACAATGAATATATTCAAGATATTTCAAATATTCTGATTTCTTAAAGAAACATCATGCGAACAATGAGAAGACTCTAAAAAATAAGAACAACTTATAATCCTGCGTACAGATAAAATTGAAGACCAGTTTAACTACCATTTTCCAGTATAAGGAGCAGACCTTAATGATAATGAATTATTAAACAGAACCTTCAATGAAGGAGGAA